AATATCACGTCTTAAGGATTGCATGGTTTTTCAAAGGATTTTCATAAAGCATAATGAGTCTTTCATGTTCAGATTTGATCCGAACGTCCGGACGGGTTGCATGTTAGATATACGTTCTATTCTGGAGGTTCCAAGTAGAATAAATATGAATTAGGAAAATCTAACCTTCAAAGTAGCATGTATAGATCATAAGTAATGGGTAAAAATTCATAGGATTGCTAGGTGATGGTGGAACCCTAGTGCTTTCTTAATTTGATTTTCTCAGAACTGTTTTCTTCTCTAGTCCTGCAGATTGTTTATTTTAATTCATTAAATTCGTTTTTTTATTTTAATTAGGTTATAAAATCAATCACTTCAATTTCTACTTTACAATAATTAAATGAAATCTGATTAGTTCGAATTATTTAATAATCCCTGTGGTGGTGATGACCTTGCGAAATCCGTTTATACTACAATAACCTTGTGATTCTTGCAAGTAAAATAGGAGATTTAAGCTCGTTCACATAAGTAGTAAAAATCCCTATCAATTCATATATACTAACACAGACACAATAACACTATCAGATAGTGGATCTGTGGATGGCAAAATTATTTAATGGACAAAGACTTCACAGAGTCAAAGAGAGTACAATTACAAAGTACAAACCTCTTCGACCAAGAAGACTAGCAGCTAGCCTCCAGAGTCCAGACCAGAGCTTTACACGGAGAATAGAGATGTCGTTGCCCCGCTCATCGGTGTGCAAGTTGCAACGATGAACATAAACTAGAGTGCGGTGCAGCAGAGAGTTGATCGATGCTTAAGGAACAGGAGCGGGCCAAGGCATAATTAGGTATTATTGAAGTGAAGGATTGCTGAAGGAGTTGATCGTGTGAGGGTTCTCACGTGAGTGAGGTTTCAAACTTTTTTTAATGACTTGGCTTAAAACGACGTCGTTTTGGCCAAGTCATTTTGAAAAAAAATTTGGCTTTCTTCTTCCTCTTTCTGAAAAGCACAGCGTGCAGCAGCCACCATGGTTGCTGTTCTTCTCCATCACTGCCCAGACTAGGGTGGTCCTTGAAGATCCTCACAGCCATTTTTCCAAGCTTCGGGTGGTCCCGGGACCACCCTGGTTCCTTAATAGATCCGCCCCTGGTTCTTGTATTGAAATGATAATAGTTTGATTTTAGAGAGAGTCGCACTAATATAACAAAAGCTAATACAAGATGGACATTCATAAAGAGGAATAATTGACCCAAAAAAAAAACTATGATGAAATGAATGAGGGCTTTCACATTCAAAAGATTGGAGAATGACACTTGATCTACCTAGCCGTGTTCTCGACACACTAAGAAATCTCTGGCTTAATTTGATAAAGGTTTTAATGAAGAAGTTGTCTCCATTAGTTTTTAAGAATTGTTGTTGGATTGATTGTTTGAGTGTCTCTTTTTATTTCTCCTACTCTTTTTATTTAAAGTATTTCGTGACAAAACCCTAGCATTCATCATCCCCACCAAAACGTCTTCATTTGTGGTCTACAATCAATGATACCTCTATGCCACATGAAATTTCACTACCCAAAGACAAGTTTCCCCTTGTCACTTAGTACTACAATATAGTGGTGTTCCTCTTTACTTGTAAGTGAAAGGTCTTAGATTTGATTCTCGCCAAAAACAAATTTGAATCACATTGTTGATAACTCATGATGAGACTAAGTCCAACCTCCCCTTTAATGTAAATAATACCATTTGTTTAAAAAAATTAAAATAAAATAAAAAGACAAGTTTGCCCTTAACTATCCTTAAGCCAGTTAAGGCTACCCTCCAAAAATGACCAAAACCATCTTAAATTGTCGACTTCGGAAGAAAGCTTTTAGGCCCCGTATTTTAGGATATTTTCAGTCCAAACAGGTTTCTTTCGCTTTGGAGGCAGATTGTTTGCCCTTCTATTTAGGTACCCTTCTCATCCCCTCATATTTTGTGCGGTCATGGTTAAGCCACGTCAACGTTTTATATTATTTTTTTTATAGAGATAATAAGACAAAAAGCAATAAGAATATAAAATGTTGACGTAGCTTAACCATGACCTCACAAATAGGAGGGGATAGGAAGGGCACCCAAACATGAGGGCAGACAATCTGCCTCCTTTCACTTTACCCTATCGTCGTTAATTCCATCCAAGACCGTCAAGTAGCTTATGTTGTGGGGTGTTTTGGCCTATTTAACAGCGGATTTGGATCCTCTCCTAAGTAGGGGGTGCAAATCCTCCTGACCCAATAACACGGATCGTTGGATTTTGATCCAACGACTACAAACAGGGGACCCATCTAAAAGTTATAATAATTGTAGTCGTTCGTTCGATTAAAATCTAACTGCCCGTGTTATTGGGTCAAGAGGATTTAGACCCCTTGCTTAGGAGATGATCCAAATCCTTTAACTGCACCATCTTGATGTGACCGTTTCTTGGTTGCCACATGGCATACTGGCCCACATTTCTCCCATTTTTATTATAGATAAATTACATTTTACCCCTTAGGTTTGTGGTCGATTGCAACCTCATACAACATCTTTAAAACATTTTAATTTTATACATTTGCTTCTCATTTTATTTCAATTTCATACATCCGTTAGAAAATCCGTTAAGTAAACCGTTAAGTGATGACATGCCCAGATTATTTGTAATCAACCAAAAACCCTGATTGTCAAATACCAAAATCCCATTCCGATGTCGTTGGTGGATGCATCTCATGGGTCCAATCAACGACAATTCGAGATTAGAATGAGAGAATGAGGAAGAGAAGGAGATAGAGGAGGTCATCGGAAATAGTGGGTTTTTTTGGGTTTTGGGTGGGGTAGGGGTGGTTGCATCTCGTGGGTCCGATTGACAACAACAATTCGAGGTTAGAATGAGAGAATGAGGAAGAGAAATAGATGGATGAGGTTGCTGGAAATAGGTGGGTTTTTTTTGGGTTTTGGGTGGGGGTGGGGTAGGGTGGGGGGTTGCAGGAGAGGTGGGGGGGGTGGGGTGGGATGGTGTGGGTTTTTTGGGTGGGATGGGATGGAGGTGAAGAGAGTAGAGGAGAAGGAGAAGGTGGGTCTTGGGGGGGGATTTTTTTTTAATAGGGTAAATTATTATATTTTAAATGCATAAAAAAATGTTTTTTTTACCACGTGGTACAAATTTGGCAACCATGTCAGCACAAATGTGGATTTCATCATATTTGCCACGTCATCACTTAACGATTTACTTAACGGATTTTCTAATGGATGCATGAAATTAAAATAAAATGATAAGTAAATGTATGAAATTGAAATGTTTTAAAGATGTTGTATGGGGTTGCAATTGACCCCAAACATGAGAGGGGGTAAAATGTAATTTACCCTTTTATTATTTATGGTAATGTTAGTGAGACTAAATTTAGAAATAAAATTTGCAAACTAAAAGATGTGTCACCATAAGAATGAATACGTTTATTAATGTTTAAGTAATAAACCAATCATCAACTTCCATATTCTTTAGTTTTCAAATTTAATTTATCTAGCATTACCTTTACTCTCTCTCTCTCTCTCTCTCTCTCTCTCTCTCTCTTCTTTTTCTTTTTTTTCTCTTTTCCTCAACCCTTTATTTGGTAGAGCTACCGCATCCATTAGAGCACTTTCAGTGTAGTAAGGCCCTCACATGCAACTCAATTCCTTTAAGTGAACAGTAATTATGCAAGTGCATCTTCACCTGTAAACTGAATAGCTCAAAGAATTTTATTAAAATATTAGTATTTTTTTTTACTTTGTAAAATAATAAAATATAACTTTATTTTTAATTTTGGATAGTAATAAAGGTTGAAAGTATTTGAAAATATTTAAATGTAGTGTAAAGTGGAAGAACATGATATTTAGGTATTTATACACACACAAAATTTTATATATATATATATATATATATATATATATATATATACTTTTTATATTTTTAATTAGTTTTTTATAATTTTTACAATTTTCTAATAATTTAAATTGTGGCTGAGCCTTGTGTCACATAAGCAAGGTGCTAGGCAAGGCGATAATTGCCTGACTTCTCCATCTGACTCGCCTTGAGCCCAATTATATGAGCTGGAGTGATTTGGGGAGGAAAAAGTGGATTGGGTTGCCTATCCCCCAAACAATAAGCAACCGTGAAATTGTTTCTAAACACAAGAAATTGCTCGACTCATAAAATATCCATGTGAAAGTTTAATAATTTCATTCGTCATCACAAAATGTTGCTCATAAAACTTATTTTCGTTGCCCTAAGATTAATGCAGGACATCCCTGGACAACATAGATAACAAAACTCCATTTGGCTACATTCTGAGCTCCATCAGTAATTTTTTCTGACTTTAATTGTCCAAATGGCTTATACATTTTAATTATGGGAAGAGATCCCCTTCGGATTTCTCCCACAAAGTCCTAGGGATCTGGAGATTTGGATCCTTGAAATTTGATCAAACGGTTACAATTATTATAACTTTTAGAAAGGCACCCCTTGTTTGTAACCGTTTGATCAATTTCAAGAGTCCGGATCTCCGAATTCCTAAGACTTGGTGAGAGAGATCTGGAAGGGATCTCTTCCCTTTAATTATGACGTGCAAAAGATCATGTGAAACTCAATAGTATGGTGGGGCTTGCCTCCTTGTTTACTTTGACATATTTCTCATAGAAATTAATAGGTTTTGCAAAATCTATGAATACCACCTTTCGTGGCATTTTTGTTAAAATTAATGTTGAACATTCCTAACACCATGTAATAAAATTATAAATGGAACTCTTTTCTAAAAACGTGAAAGGTATTCGCCGATTTTTTTTTTAATTTTAATTTTAAACGATTATCTCTAAACTTTTATAATTTGTTAATTTTCCCTTCTAACGTGAGATTTTGAAAATTTTCATCTATTTTGATCACGTGCACAACACATGGCAATTGTCTGAAGGCAAAAAAGTAATTTTATGCCACAACAAAACCTAATCGTTGCTAGATAGAAGAGGAAGGCATGAGCGCCACAAAGAACGTATATGGGGTTGGCGGTGGGCATCCTAGGGTTAGAATCTCAGAGAGAATATGAAGAATCAGCAGCGGAATCAACAAATTAGTAGAAAATTCGAAGGTATCTTGAGTAGGCCTGGGCATGGTTCGGTACGGTTTGGTACCGAGGTAGTACCGAAACCAAACCCGTAGTAAAATTTTGGTACGGTTCAGTACGGTACGAATGGGTGTACCGATTTAGTACCGAACCTAATAGGTTCGGTCCAAGTATTGGTTCGGTACGGTTGCAATGGCATGCCGGACTTCGAAATGGGTTGACAGGTTCATGGACAGGTGTTTAGACATGGGTTTGAATCATATGTTTTTGTGCAGAATGGTCTCGTGGCGTTGTATGCTAAATGTGGTCGAATAGATCGTGCTAGGGCTGTGTTTGATGGTTTAGGTGAAAGGACGGTTGTTTCCTGGACTTCGATGATTTTGGGGTATGCCCAAAATGGCCAGCCTTTGGAAGCTTTGATAATTTTTGGTCTGATGAGAAAATTGAATGTGAAACCGGATTGGATCGTTCTTGTTAGTGTTCTAAAAGCTTATACTGATGTAGAAGACTTGGGACATGGGACATCTGTTCATGGTTGTTTGATTAAAATGGGTCTTCAATTTGAACCTGACTTGCTCATTGCACTCACGGCAATGTATGCAAAAAGTGGGCAGGTGATGGCTGCCAAATCATTTTTTGATCAGATGTAAACGCCGAACGTAATACTGTGGAACGCTATGATATCTGGTTATGCGAAGAATGGTTATGCTAACAAGGCTGTAGAGTTATTTCAGGAGATGATCACAATAAATTGTAACAATTTTAATTGAAAAACTGATCGGTACGGTTAGTATGTACCGAACATAGAACCGAAACCGAACCGACTACACAAAAAATCGAACTGATTTTGTACCCATAACGAATGAATCGAAAAAAAACCGAACCGATCAGGTTCGGTTCGGTTCTCGGTATTTTTTACCCAGGCCTCATCTTGAGCTTTGAAGCTCATAACAATGGGTATTGTGGTAAAAGACGGTGGGCATCGTCCAAATCTCCAAGATACAGCAAGTCTTTACTTTTTTGTTTTTTTCAGTTTGATTAATATGCAAAATGGTTGCTTTGTCTGTTATTTTCAGCTTTAAAATTCTAATGATGTGTGTATATGGGCCCCCTTGGTTGTTTTTTTATGAAGTTTTGTCTCTTACTTCAAGATTTCATAGTTTGTGTTACTGTTTGGACTCAAAATTACATCATCGGTCTAAGTAATCAATGTCGTTGAATGAGCAGAATTTTAGACAGTTGAATGACAAAATAGTTGAAATGATTTTCAATTAATATTGAAAAATAATATTATGATATTATCTCTTAATATATATTAGGATATCTAAACCTAATATTAGGTATATCCAATTGATTGTTTTGAAAAGAGATGATCTGATCCGTCTTCAAAGGATTGCACGAAGACATTTGAATGGGCTCATCATATCAAAGCCCCAGGTGCATGCAATCTCCTACATGGCTAATTATTATCAAAACCAAGTCTTATTGAAGTGGGTGGTACAATTCAAATTGGCTTGGAATTCATGGACGTGTTAGAGTGAATGGGGTTGTTGCATGTGGCTTTATCTTGAGATATGGCGATTATATTTCATCAATTAGAATCACCTTTTAGAGTTTTATTTGGTGAAGGAACCATCATGCATGTACATGGTCTTCGTTAGGGGAAATGTGCATGATGAATTCAATTGGTGAAGTGATTTGATGGAATTATGATGAGGTAAGAAGCCTAGGTAGGCTAGGCTTTTGGTTATGATGGATAAGTCTGCCACAGATAGGCTTTTGGATGGGTGATGGGATAGGTTTTTATTTTGTTTGAAAAGTCAACCATCTGGAAGATAGGCTTCAATCTATGCCACGGATTAGCCTTAATTCTACGAGTTTGAGTTTCAATTGGTTTCCAAGAAATTATTAGGTCATGCCAAGCAAAAGGATGGATGCTATAAATACAGAGTTGCAGGCAACATTGAGGCCCTCCAATTCAACACACAAATTGCTATACGCAAAACTTCTCAACAACCTTTGAGATTTTATCCTCTCCCATTTTCTTCTCGCCAATACATCTTCAGTTTGGATAAACAGCACTGTGAAGGCAACTGGCGACATCTTTAGTTTGGATAAACAATACTGGAGCAGTATAATCAGCCGATCAATGAGCACCTTCAGTTTGGATAAACAATACTGCTTCGAGACCGACTGGTTATTTATCCAAGTCTTAGTCAACAAGGATTTTCAAGTCCTTGTTAGTAGAGGTCATGTCATCAGCCTTATTGGCAAAGTGAGGTGTTACAGGTTACTAGGCTCGGCACGTTGAACGCGAAGTTGTTTTATGATTGGATATTCACAAGTACATTTTAGAGTTCGGCATTCCGACGGCCAAACCACATTTACCATCAAGACATACATCTCTTTCGAGTATTTATGTCCATATAGTCTGGTGCCAGTTCAGCGTGCTTATACTCTCACGAATATAATCATCGTGACCAAACCCAGCACCGACGATTTGTGAACTTCGCAGAACTAGCAGCCTTGTCTTCAGGCTCTAAAATCTGAAGGCTGAGATGTATTTTTTTTCCTCGGCCACAGTCACAAAATCAAGAAGTCAGCAACGCGCTCAACGTGACATCAACATATTTTACTGCTCAGCCGTCGAGTTGGCATGCCCCGCACACAATCGAAAGACATAGTTAGCTTATTAATTACTCAGCCTACGCACCACATAGGCTTGGTAGTTTTTAGGGTCAACAGGTACCAAAACATGTATTTTGTGTATTTGGTCTGTTGCTCCTTCTACTTAATTCAATAAATACAGATAGGGGGAGCTAACAAACAAACATGTATATTAAGTGGCATTAAAAATGAGAGCACAACTTGAAAGAGATATCTAACAAACAAGCAAGTTTTATTTATTTATTTATTTTTTTTAAGAAACAAACTGGTGGCAAGCCACGGTTATCCACTTCTCCCGAAAGTCAGAAGGACTCACAGAGGCATTTCAGCTTTCCCCTGGCCACAAGTTTGACTTCCACACCAGCATGGGGTTTCGAATCCAAGACCTTTAGTTTTTAGTTTGAAGGAAGCCTCGCAACCCGTCTTTTATAACTGGAACACCTACTCGTGGTTAAACAAGCAAGTTTTTGATAAAACAAATAAAAAAGAAACAAAAAATAAAAACAAGCAGATTTTACTAAAGCGGACATATGAGTGGATAAATAGAACTTACTTACTTGTGCGACACATCAGCACACTAACATAAAATTTGATGAAATGCTAACGGAATGATCAAATTGATATGTATGATCCATTTTTAGAAATCAAATTAATTGATTTTCTATTTAAGGGTCCATTTTGATTGGAAGGTCCAATTTCAAGATCAAACTGTGATAAGTATTCAATATTTTATTGATTTCTATTTTCCAGCTTAAAAATTAAATGAAAATGTACTTATGTGACCCAATGAATAGTAAAGGGGGCCAAAACACATTTATAGCCTTTAGATCATCTTCGGAATATCCCGCATGAATTAGGTGAGCTTATAATGCAGTGACAAAGACACGAGAAATAGATTTTACATTCCGTCGTTGGAATGTTTTACAGCCAACTAAAATATATAAAGGGATACTAATTTCAAGGTATTTTATATTTTGCATTGAAGATGCTTTATACTAAATAATGGAAAAAATAAATTAACATTGAACTCGTCATTCACGAGATTCAAAATTACATCTTACTTAAAAAACACTAACTCGTGATACTAAATGTCTAAGTATTAGCATTATTTAACAAAACTATTATGCATGTTAAACAGGTGGGGGATTATCAACCATAGGTCATTATAAGACTCGTAGTTACTAACGGTCCAAAATCAACCACGTCTCGTTGGTAACCCGACCTTCAGTAAAACTCCTTTTTCCATTTCAATCAAACCCTATAAACATGCTTTTGCATATCCGACATTCCATATGCTAACGGTCCTTGTAATAAGGAGGCAGATTGTCTGCCCTCTTGTTATGATGTCTTTTCCATCGTCTTCTATATTGTACGATTACAGTTAAATTACGTTAATATTTTATATCTTATCATTTTTATCATTATTATTTTTATTAAAAAATTAATATAAATATTAACGTGGTTTAACCATGAACGTATAAATATAGAAGAGAATGGTAACGACACCATAACAAAAGGCAGACAATCTGCCTCCTTGTAATAAACGCAACACTTGAAAATCTGTGTTTGTTTTTCTCTGCAGCCGTGTCCAACTGTGTCGGCGATGCAGCGCTCTCACTCTACAGCTGAATCAGATTCGTGTGCGTCCACTCAGACCGACGCGTGGTGGAGACGCAGATGCTCGCTTCTCTGACATCATGACGCATCGATAAAGCACCGCAAATCCGATTAGGCCACTTCTCTCTCTTGCCTCCTTTTCATGGTTGCTCCTCCTTCTTCTTCTTTTTACTCAACGCCCCCGCCCCCCTTTTGGCCTTTTTTGTTTCTTCACCGAGTTGTTCTTGA